TGGAGATTGCTGTGAGCTGTGACGTCATGGCACTCTACCCAGGGGACAGCTTGACGCTCTGTCTCAAAAAAATAAAATAAAATAAAATAAAATAAAAAAACTAAGGCTCAGCGCCTGTGGCTCAAATGGCTAAGGCACCAGCCACATACACCTAAGGTGGCGGGTTCGAATCCAGCCCGGGCCTGCCAAGCAACAATGACGGCTGCAACCAAAATAAATAGCTGGGCGTTGTGGTGGGCACCTGTGGTCCCAGCTACTTGGGAGGCTGAGGTAGGAGACTCACTTGAGCCCAGGAGTTGGAGGTTACTGTGAGTAGTGAAGCCATGGCACTCTACCCAGGATGACAGCTTGAGGCTCTGTCTCAAAAAAATAAAATAAAATAAAAATTAAAAAAAAAATAAAAACTAAAAAAAAAGAGGTTGTGGGGTGATGACAAGAGGGGGAACCTGACATCTTGGGGCCACATGTGGCCTTTTGGATCCTTAAGTGTGGCATTTTGACTGAATCCAAATTTTACAGAATAAATTTGTTCAATAAAAGATTCTCTTCAAGCGCAGTACCTGTAGCATTTTGATTACTGCACCAGCCACATACACCGAGGGTGGTGGGTTCGAACCCAGCCCAGGCCAGCTAAACAACAATGACAACTGCAACCAAAAATAGCTAGGCATTGTGGCAGGCTCCTGTAGTCCCAGCTACTTGGGAAGCTGAGGTAACAGAATAGCGTAAGTCCAAGAGTTGGAGGTTGCTGTGAGCTGTGACACCATGGCACCCTATTGAGGGCAACATAGTGAGACTCTGTCTCAAGAAAAAAAAAAAAAGATTCTCTTCAGTCCAAAAAGAAAATAACTACTAAAATCAGAGCTATCAGTCTTGAAGTGAGTGAATCAATGTGGACTAATGAATTCTATTTTATTATCAAAGGAATCCTTGATAATCTCAGCATGTAAATGCTGCAGAAATACTGAAATAGGACCCTGACTACTGAAATACCATCTTGCCTCCTCCTATTTAATGCTAACAAGTCAATTCCCTACAAGCAAATGACCTGTACATAGTTTTAAAGACTAGGGCATTTGATATCCTAATTACTGATATCCATATTATTACCATATTTCAATTATTAAATGGAAATTCAGCATCATTTTTTGTACCTAATGTGTAGTTGTATGTTTCTTCCCCTTCTGTAGGAATGGGAAAGGCCAGATAATTGATCCTACTTCTGCCTCAGGATTATCTCCTAGAGTCTCCTGTGCATCCAGTACTCAGCCCTCCAGGCTCCTGAAATGCCATCCTCCCCATAGAACCAGTTCAGCCCATGCACCATCCACTTCACTGCCACCTTCCTAACTCCCTTCATGCTGGCCTCACACTTCTGGTCGAGACTCCCCTGCTCACAGACACCCTCCTACAAATATGTCTACCCCTTGGCCTGTCTATGGAGTTACTAATAAATCATATCAGTGCATCTCCTCTCAACTGTCTTAGCCCTAGAGACCAGAGCCAAGCTTGTCTGAATCACTCTTCCGTATCATTTCATTTTCTTTTTTTTCTTTTTTTTGCTTGGTTTTTTTGAGACAGAGTCTCACTACATTGCCCTTGGTAGAGTGCTATGGTGTCATAGCTCCCAGCAACCTCAATCTCTTGGACTTAAGCAATTCTCTTGCCTCAGCCTCCCAAGTAGCTGGGACTACAGGTGCCCACCACAATGCCCAGCTATTTTTTGGGTTGTGGTTGCTGTTGTCATTGCTATTTAGCAGGCCAAGGCTAGGCTCGAACCCACCAGCCTCGGTGTATGTGCCTGGCGCTCTACTCACTGAGCTACAAGCACTGAGCTTTTTTTTTTTTTTTAATTTTATTTTTGAGACAGAGTCTCACTCTGTTGCCCAGGCTAGAGTGCCATAGCATTATAGCTCACAGCAACTTCAAACTCCTGAGCTCAAACAATCTCTCACCTCAGCCTCCTGAGGAGCTGAGGCTACAGGCATGTGCCACCATGCCTGGCTAGTTTTTTTTATTTTTAGTGAAGAGGGAGTCTCACTGTTGCTCAAGCTGGTCTTGAACTCCTGAGCTCAAGCTCAAACTCCATCACCTCAGCCTCCCAAAGTGCTCAGATTACAAGCATGAGCCACAGAGTCTGGACTTCAGCAGCACTTTTTGTACCTGATGTGTAGCCTGGACTGGAGTTGGGCCCGCAGCAGGTGCCTACTAGGCATGATGGCCTAAATAGTAGCATCAGACCACCTGACTGAGCTGGTTACTCCCACCATTTGCCCTGTAAGATGGGTTGTTATTAAAACTACTCTTTAGATAATGGATGTGTGCGGATACAAGAGGGAGAAGAGAGACCCATCATCTCTTCACTCTGGGCCACCCCCTCCCTTCCTTCTCAGATTTGTAAGAACTGAGCAATATGAACTCCCCCATCATAACCAGCACTCACTAGGATGCCCCAGCACTGACTATAAGGCAGTGACATCTGGGGAAATGCCTGCCCTCTGCACTATGGTGACCCTGGAACCTCCGACAAGTCTCTCTGGAAAAACTGCTCTGCTTCACAGTGCTATTCCATGGAATTAAATCACACCCTCCATGACTAGGGATGTTGGCTCACACCTATAATTCTAGCACTCTGGGAGGCCAAGGCAGGTGGATTGCCTGAGCCCAGGAGTCGGAGACCAGCCTGAGCAAGAGTGAGACCCTATATCTACTACAAATAGAAAAACTAGCTGGGCATCATGGCAAGCACCTGTAGGCCCTGCTACTCGGGAGGTTGAGACAGGAGGATCACTCAAACCCAAGAGTTTCAGGTTGGTGTGAGCTATGATGCCATGGCACTCTGCCCAGGGTCACAGAGTGAGACTCTGTCTCAAAAAACAAAAAACGAAAGAACGAACAAACAAACAAACAAACCCTCCATGAGGAAGGCCATCTGGAAGCATTCCAAGAAGTGGATGGTGGACACCAAGGGCTCTGGAGTTTGATAGGTCTGAGTCTG